TCTTCAAAAAATAAGTTGTGTTTTCAACCGATAAACTGGTGATCTTCAAAAACAATGTTGTTATTTTAATAAAATGAATATGATCCTCAAAATATGATATGGTGAAATGCAAAAGTTGATTTTTGGCGGACATGGGACACCATACTATCAGACCTGCCAACTCTCACGGATTCCCCGCGTGACTCACAAATTCACGCATTATCTCACGGACTCACAGAAATATTTTCAAATCTCACAGATTCACAATTTTGAAATTTTAACCACCACTAGACTTTAAAATGGGAGTGATTGATGTGAAATAAAACTAGCCATTGACGGTAATTCTAATTTGTGAAAAATCCCCAACACTATTTGACTATTAGTATTTATTTACTCATTACTAAGTAGCAGTCTAAGTACTCCGCCATTTTGAATAGCCTATTAAGCAGCGATTTTTTTCGCGCGAAACAAATTTATTCCTTTGTCTTTGGGCAATTTGTTCCCGATGGTTGCAGCTGATAGCTCTAAAACAATGGCAAAATGTCGCTTCGCGCAACAAAATCGCTAGTGGAAAACCGGCTTTAGTGTATCGCCGGCGCTGAGCGGGAAATTTACTGCAAGAAAATGGCGGAAGCAGAAACTTCCCAAATCGGCCAATGGCCGGAGTAGCTATTCCTGTTTTATATTCACATCATCCCATATTGAGGAACTTGATTTTTACCCCCTCCTAGGAATTTCGAAGGTTGAAAATGCGGGTCAGTGGTTGAAAATCATCCCCTTCCTCTGGAATTCCAAGGTTCCTCAACAGGGGTGTGTGTGATAAAATTTGGAATAGTTCCCCGAATTAGTAAAATACACTCGTATAGACTAAGACCAGGTTGAATTTGTAGGTAAACTGTTGAGTTAAAGTTTTATTTTCGAGGACAGTAATTAAAAATTGCTATATATGTCACCGAACATAGATCAGGCATCAACAGGCAATGATTACACTTGTCTTACTTATCCAGAAATACCCCAGATTTTCGGTATTTTATCTCCAGAAATAAGACATCAATCTCAAGAAATTTTCTATCAGATCTCCAGATTTGTTGCTGCTGGAGGTTGGCAGGTCTGAACTATAGTCTACTAAACAGACAAACACATGTTCTACTAAACCACATTCATAGTCAACAATTAGAAGGCAAACACATGTTTATTAATCGATTTTGGGAATTGTCTGATAATTGATGATTGTAATGGCTATTGATATAAATGGGATCATTATTTGGTTTTTGGCAGAGAATGAAGGTATTTTCTTTCAAGTTTTAGGTGACATCAACAAAGTTCACTAATTGATGACAGACATCAGCAGTAATCTTTAACCCAAACTGATAAAAAATGAGATGGAGTTCCTTTTCAACCTTACCACTGATCTACCCTTGCTCCCTTTTACTAGCATTAAGTCATCATCCTTAAACAGACCAACCATATCATTCCCAAACCGTGATGCTAAAGTGTTTAATATAAAAAACCAACAAGTTCACACACCTCAGCACCATTGTAGCTCCCCATGGCAACATAAAAAAGTGCACTGTCCAAATCATTGGTTTTACTCCATGTTCTCTCCCCATGGAAAAGAAGAGATTTACGTGTGTGATATTGAAGGAAAGAGTAGTCACATTTGTTTTGAATTCCTTGGAACCATTTTAGAACAGATTTGGTGTTCTTCCACTGGTTTACACAAGTAATAGATCTTATTTCATTATTAATTCTATCCAAAACGACTTTGCTTACCTTACGAGCTTGTTCTTCAATCGATTCAGGAGACGGCATTTAGGGTTAATGTCAAAGTTCTCCTTATGACCTTTAAAGTGCCCCTGTCACAAAATGAGAGTTTACATCATTAGAATCGTCTTGAAACGTAGATTATGAAAATACAAAACAGATTTAAAATTGAGCTTGTTTTCACAGAGTAATAAGGCAATGAAATTTGAAAATTTCAAATTTTAACGCAAAAAGTTTTTGAAAACCGCGAAGCTGGGAAATTGGTAACTAATACGTCATAGTAGGAAGACATTGCCTTCTCGCCTAAGTGAAAAGTATATAAATACTAAGTGAGAATCACAATCAAGCTGGTCAAAATTCGATACAAATGTCTTCGTGGAGTTCAGATACGGAAAATAACAGTTACCAAAGCGATGACTGCCTGAAATTATATTCCTGGGCCGTATCAAATCGAGTGAAATCGAAGAAAACACCAGTGAAGCGTGGTCAACGTCGTGCCGCGTGCGCACAAATGATCGGCGCTGCTTGATCCATATGTTACATGTAATGAACCATGCAGTGACCGACGAAGATGGCTCAAAAGGCTTGATAGTTCAGAAGAATTGAGTAAATGGTAAATATTTCACGGCTCTGATTTTGTTGCGTGACTTGACCTTGTGTTGTAAATTACAAACTATAATATTTCATGTGTATACGTGGCAATTGTCGCATTGAACTGCTTCGTAAATTATGCTAAAGAGTGTCAATGTTGTAGTGCGTCGATTCTCTACACAGTGACATTGTGATTTGTGATGCAAGAAGCTGAAGTCGCGCCATCATGTATAATTCAACAGCTATGGCTAGATAAGTGAGCTCTCCGTTCAGCAGCCACGAAATTACGAACAAGAAAGAAACAGGAATACCGTCAAACAAGCACAGAAGATAGGTAAATAAAGTTTTATTTATCAACATATTGAAATTATGAAACACTAAAACCATACCCGAGTTTACTATCAGTGAACACACGCATGCGGTACGGTAACTGAGAGTTTATATGCGGTACATAAATGTACAATTATTGAATTATTATATATTTACATGTGTTCACATGCAAGTATTAAAGCGACTTATTAAAAATACTTATTTATTAATTTATAGATTCTGAAGGAGCACAGTATATAGAAACTTTGTGTGGATGGTTTATGGACAACTAAGAAATAGACATTTTTGCGCATATGAGAAAATAATGCCTGCTGTTGATGAAGACTTTGTAGGATTTGTAGAGAACAGCTCTTGATATTATATAACTATTTTTCAATAAATAAACCTATTACACTGTATAAATGTGGTAATATTATACTGTATTGCGTATAGAAACAGCACATTTGTTATATTCATGACTTCAATGTTGTTTTGCCAAAGAGACTGAAATTTGAGATTAAGATTTGTATCTGATGTTTTCTGCACTTCGTGCGCGCGGGTTAATTTGTACAAAGTGTTGCAGCACGTTTAGGAATTTTTCTGACTTGTATTTCGTTCCAGGCACTATAGCAAATGTGGCAATGACTAAGTTATTTCATTAAGTTGCTTCAATGGATTATACTTTGTAATACATTTTCTATACACCCCCGCAGTGTATCTGGTTTCATGCCACAATTTGTTACAAAATCTGCATATATATTGTACGGGTTTGTACTGCGGTGCAAACACAATGAGTGTGTATATGTATAATTTACTGCGTCAAGTTTACTTATACGTACAATTCTACTTTCCCTGTCTAAACTAAAATACAAACAGTGCACATTGCTTCTAGACATAAGAAATTGGCTTTCATCAGCTATATTTTGACCATATTCACTCATAGTCATAGCTATATTGTCGCGATATTTTATATTTCTGGTGAATCCATTGGCTGTGGCTCATATTTATCGCGCTTTCCAGTTTCGTGACCATGACCATATCGGTTGACTGCATCGAAGCAGCTTCTAAATACAACCTATTCAAAATAACGAATTTGGAATAAAAATTGCACTAGGCCATATTCAAGTGCATGATAAACGAAATTAGAGTATAAATTATACATATACCATTCTCTTGACTCTCGCAGACAAAGGTTTGTCGTCGACAGTATTTGTAAATTTTGGAATTGCAACAAAACCAATTTCGTCGGCAGCTAACCGTGGTTTTACCAGCAAGCTCTCTATCTTCGCAAGGTATGCTGAACATTGGATCTCATATTGCTGGTTTAAGGTAAGGTGCACGAAGTCAATCCGTGTCCTTTTCGCTTCGGGCCTCTCGTCTCCAGTAAAAGG